TGGTTCTGTACACTTGGTGGCATGGGCCGATTTTACTGTAAGCTTTCCCTTCCTTCCCTTCCTTCCCTTCCTTCTCTCCCTTCTCTCCCTTCTCTCCCTTCTCTCCCTTCTATTCCTTCTATTCCTTCTCTGTCTCTCTCTCTCTCTCTCTCTGCGTGCGTCGGAATCCCTCCGTCCTCGAATCCGTCTAACTGACTTGTCCAGATATCGCATTTCCGTCAACGAAGCACATCGCTTGTGGTTATACTTTCTTGGGTTGCAGCCTGGGCCTGGTGTGGTCCAATACAGCTGGACGCCGAAAGACAAGAATAAGGATTTATAGACTCTAGACTTCATGAGCATTCTGGTGGCGTTTTGTGGTTTTTTTTTTCCACGGGCATTTTTGTTGTAGATAGGTATCTTTCTTATGGGGCATTATACATAGCACGAAGCCATTCTTTATTTTAATGAGCATTCATGTTTCTGTTTTTCATTTTCGGCCACGGTTCGACATGCGGTACGTGTACATAATATAAAGCTAGTGATACGGGATAGGGAGATTACAATTCTTGCACGAGTTGATTCTGATGCGAATTGACAACTCACGCTTCATTGTCTGGGGGGGGCATCGTCTGTGTCTCATAGACCCAGATATCCTGATGGCTGTGGAGACGAGAGAACAAGTCACATAGATGGGTAGATATGCTGCCTCTTTTTAACTTCTTCTGTACCCCGTAGACGCGCATGTCTACCTAGTACGGAGTGTGCGTATCACACCGTACCTACGGGATGCAAGGCGCGCGTGGACATCATGGTATCAGAGCACTAGGACGGTATATTGACAGCTCGGAAATACTCTGCTCGTGTGAGGCAATTCCTCTGCAGGAAACACGACGAAAAATTGAAAGAAAGGAAGCGTCCGACCAAGTACAAGCGTCCATCTACGCATGCTACTAGTAAGTAGCTACATCCACTTGAATCCCTTGTATGCAAACAGACCTGCTTCGTCCAGCCACCCCATCCGAAAACCCAACTCTTGACGCATCCTGATCGATTCCCAAGATGGCGAAAAAGCTGTTCATTCGCACAATGCGTCCATGAGCCATCATCCTCTTTCAATCCTTTTCCTGTATTGTCTAGCTAGCTGCTACCGTGCCGCACCGGCAGTAGTAGGTGGATGGAGAGCGGAGAGAGGGCCCCGTGTGAATGTGGCAAGCGTTGGGCAAGGATTCACCCCAACATCGCGTGTTTAGGAGGCGATATTGGTGGTTAATAGGGTGGCGAAGGAAAAAGGGCAATTAGAGCAGCTTGATGCACTCAAGACCAATGTTGATCAGGCCGGTCTGTATAGACACGAAGAATACATATCAGTAAAGGATAGACTCCGTGATGAACGCGCATCATGATAATGGGCAACGTACCTGAGGAGCAGACTTGCAGCAGTAACTGCCTCCACCGCAGTTGTTACCCAGAAGGTTGATGTTGCAGAGGATTCCTCCAAGGAGGCCGCCCTGGCAACAGACGTAGTTGGGGTGGTCGTTGTTGCAGCTGTATGAGTTGTCGCCGCCTCCGGTGGGAATGGCAATGACGGTGGCTGCGAGAGCAACGATGGCGGCGGTGTACTTCATGATGACGAGATTGGGGAGTTTGAAGCGAAGTAAAGAGGGATGATGCTGATTACAGAAGACGAAGTAAGGTCGAAAAATAGGACGAGAGATGGCTTGGTCGGATGGAGAGAAGAAAAGATCGTTGAGATACGAGGGAATACTGAGGCCTTTTATATTCAAGAGTACCTCCTTGGGGAAGTCTCACAATACGAATCCCTCTTTCTGTCGAGGACGTGTTCGAGGAACATCCAGGATACGTGCTGAGATACTGTCATCTGGTCGTCCTACATGACGCGCCGGACCAAATGCGCTTTCGCATCATGCATGCCACATGCCAATGCTCGTCATACTTGTGTTAGTCCCCCCTTCTCTTGAATTACCAAGGCAGCTTACCAGGGGCAGCATATTGTCTTGGCGTCCACAAGAAGAAACTCACTCTCTCCGAGACAACCCTCCATCTGCCTTCTTACCACCCCATCGTGTTTAAGACCTCCTATCACTGGTAGCAGGCCATTGAGATGATCTTCCGACTTCGGAATCCGAATTCCTGCATCGACAGAATCGGTTCTATACAGACTTCAGTCTTCGCGTGAGACAAGCCCGACTAGTCACTAGTGGAGGGATTGCAGGTCACTGAACACTTACGGAAGCAGCAAAACCCTCTGATATCACGAGAATCAGTCACTATCAAGGGTGAGGTATAGTCCGTTAACCCCTCGTTGGACATGACTTACACGCCGTGTCTTGCGTGTAAGTCGTGTCTCGATACGTCTCGTAGTCTTACTGCTCTCATTGCTCCGGCTCAAAGGACAACCACATACTGTGATATCACCTGATCCGACGTACGTGGCTTAAAAGAGACTTCTTGCCTTTCCAATCACGACCAAAGTCAGGGTCACACAGACGGGCTCAGAAATATAGCGCGCATCTTCAGCTGTGGCCCTCGTGTTCTCGTGCAGAAGTAGCTTTCGATCCCGCATGTATGTATCTATCGTCCGATTCTGGCTGCTGGGGAACCACACCCCCCTTACAAAAACCGCGGGGTAGCGCAGAATAGCTTCTTCCAACGACCTTATTCAAGCTTTCTTTGCTGATCGACAGGCGCGGGATCTCCCCCGATCATCGATGAATGGCGTGTGGGGAAGGGAAGAGCGTACGAAGTTCGAACAAAGGGGGGAAGGGGACCTCAAGGCCCAATGGCAAGAGCTTGGCACGACGCCACATTGTGTGCGGAGGACATATTCGTATGGTACGTTACTCTGTAGGAGAAGGTCATCCGTGTGGATGAGAGAAGTTTCCTACCTATAGCGTCAGGTGGTGCTGGTGGCGCTAAAAGGCCACGAATGACTGTGTAATTCTTCAGAGGGCGTGCCGTATATTTCAACTTCCAATGTGTAACGATTGGCTAGTTGGTAGTACCGGAAGGTCTGAGCCCATATTCCTTTGGAGGCCTGGCGGACTTGCCCGTTCCGCTCCGCTGGTGGAAGGCTCCGCGAGGGGAGAAACAGGTGGACTTCATTCAAGACGATATGCCTGCAGCCTACGAGGTGTACGTAGACATACCAACAGAAGCCCTAGCTCGAATGCTGTGTCCATTCTGTAGTGGCGTACTGAGGGTGAGGTTTAACATAGGTTGGTGACTGGAAAGCTGGTCGACGTGCAAGAATCGTCACGTTCATACGCTCATTACGCTCATACGTTCATCACGTACCAATACTGTGTCTGCGTCCCACTCTTTCATCGTTCCTCACTCGTGCGGTCCCTTGTAATCAAAATACTCGGAGTAACGGCATATGTATGTAGTAGGGAACACCCGGTAACACAGTGGCCCGTGAAAACGCCGTAGCGACGAGCGAGGTGCCGATACTCGGGTGTGCCGGTAACGGCACGTCGCCAAGTCGTACATCCGGGTTTGGACCCATTTCCTTTGCTCCCCCTCTCCTCAACTTATTAAATGACAAGTTGGGCTCGTCATCGTCCAGTCTCCTACCCTCGATCTGGCCAGTGGCCACTGTGTTGCGCTAGATGCTCGGCTGTATGCACACTGAAGCCAGGACGTGAGAAAAGGGCACAGCCCATGATAGGGATCTGAGAAGAGGTTAACAAGAAACAAAACTGCGTGAGGATACCACGAGCGAGTGATATAGTGCAAATACGGCACAACTGAGCCATACATATACGAGCGTTCGTGGAGAAAGACGAAATTCATTTTGCTGTTGGCTGGATAAGCCAGTCAGCCCTGGCGTCGGAGTGAGAGTTGTGTGACAACTGGCATCTGGGCATCTGTCCAGCTTCTGCTTGCTCCCTTCTCACGGATACTAATAAGAATGCGACCGTAGTATAGATTAACTATCCCGGGGTATAGTCCACCTGCTAAGTCAGTAAATCTGTCGAGTTTACCAGGGCCGCCAGCGGCCAATTGTCGCCCCCGAGCTTTGCGGGGAGCCTTGGCCAGCAATGTGGAAATAGAGGCAAGAATTTTGCCTTTCAGTTTGCGGGGGAACGTTTCCCGTCACCAAGTGTCATACTCAGTGAGAGAGCCCCTCGAAGAAGGCAGAAAGACATAAGAGGGCATTCCGACAGAGACAAGGCTTTCAGTCGGTCTCTGGCGGAAGATCGTGGGTCCATTGTCCATTGTATGCTCATCTGACATCAAGGAATCAAGAAATCAAGGAAGTCTGTAGCAGTCGTGAGGTGTTTGACACTTCCCCTTCTTCCCATTCTTGAGGACTCGACCTCGTAGCTCTTTCCCTCTCGCACAGCACGTGAACAAACAGCACATATTTGTAGTTGTGTCACACGCCAATTCTGGCCTAGTGAGCGGACTGACCGAGCGTTGTGCTCGAAAGGACTGTCTCAATGTGATCCGAACGAAACTCCACGGCAGCTTGTCGATCTAGGTCCCTATACAAGTCCTGCTGCGGATCTGAACGGCCGATGCAGCGAGCACCAATACCAAGAGAATGATTGGAACATCACGTTGCTTGAACGCTCGCTTGAACGCTCGCGATGCATAATTGGCAGGGCGCCTTGAAGACTCTCCGTTCGCACAGCGCCGAACGTCTCTGGCCCTCTTCCGACCCGACCCGACCCGATGCCCGGTACCCGAGCGACTGGAAGATGAGACATGGAGAAGTGAGACAGTACGTTGAGGTTATCGCGATGAGGCGTAGAGGGGAGCGAGCACTACAAACGGTTGTGTATTTGGTGGAAAAACGCCGCCAATGTTGAGTTGTCTCTTTGAGTCTTCTAACAAGTTGGTGTGGAGACTCGAGAGGGGATTCGGGGGCAAAAAGAACGAAGGAAATCACACACGGTGAACATGAGCGAAAGAATGCAAACTTGAAAGCCATACGTACCTGCAGGCTGACGCAGTCCAAAGGTCTAAATGTGGCGGCAAAAAGAAGAAGTGAATGACACCTGAGGGATTCGAACCCTCGCCTATTACTAGACCGCGAAGAGGTGGATCTGCTGCGAGAGCGAATCCTGGCCTGAACACGGCGCCTTAGACCACTCGGCCAAAGTGCCTCAAGTTACTGGTTGATGTCTCGTTGATCCTTAATACCTATTAAGGATGAATTCCAGTCTTCGACTCGTGTGGTCAGTGACCCAGTGGTCACCACGCGGAAACCCTGTCCGGCACGAACGTCGAAACTTGAAAGCAGTGCAGGTTGAATTCTGAACCTCCTCGGCGATGGTCCGCAAAAGCTTGCTTCACCCCTTCTCCCGCGACGCGGTCGCGACCGCTAGTACGTGGAACAATACCCTCTTGCTCAAACATACGCGCGGAAGCCGTGAGCTTCCAGATACGTATGCCCATCACCAAACATCCGAAGAATGGATGACCTTTCATCAGCCTTCAGAGCGATGGTGTCAGCTGTCGTCATAGTGCGTGAGCCAAACTCTCTGAGTTGTCTCCAGTCGCGCTGGCGCAACGCACAATGCGTAATTGATGCGTGCGCTTGCGGTGAAACTACCTCATGGCGACGGGAGTCTTTGCTTCTTTTAGAAACCCATTTCGTTCAATTATCTTAATTGTTCAATGAGGCGTCGTATTTTGAGAGTTACATACGTTTGCTGACTGCGGTATAGTGTCGGAGAAGTCCCTTTGTCGCTCAGCTCGAGAACCTACCCATGTATAATTCGTTCCGCTGTAGATGCTCCTCCCATTTGCGCAAGCAAAGAGGTTTAGAAAGGGCCACACAGCATGATGGTGGCTTACCATGACCAACCTGTGTACTCTGTCTGGTCTTGATATTTGTTCGTAAGATCCAATGCCTTGTTCAGGCTGGCCAGCGCGGATACATCATTCACAAGAATGATGATGATGGTGCACGTTGGCCCAGCCTCATCGTGATCGGTCGACAGGAGCTCGCGACGCACAGTGTGCTTAATTCTCCACGTTTGTTAAAGTGCTTCAGTCGATAGGAAGTATGTATGTAGCTTCAATCACAATGCAAAAGAGGTGTTCAGCTGCAGTTTACTTTTCCGCACCCCTGGATGCGCACCCCTCGCGCGCACGGACCCCCCGAGACCGAGATCGCAGCGGCCAAACAGCGAAGGTGG